GTGCAGCGTAGTATTTAGCCAAAGATTTAAAGGGAACCCCTATCCAGATTTCTGTAGCTCCTTTTTTATGAAGGTTTCTTTTATATATTACCCTGCCCCACAAATTCCAGACAACTCAGCAGCCACCTCAGGTCAGCAGAGCACAGTATTCTTGGGCTCCTCTTCCCTATGCTGTAAACCAGAAAGTGCCTTCAGGCAGAAATCCAGGGCACTCCTCTGATGTGCTTTCCTCTTGGGAATCACTCCTCTGCTGCCTGTTGTCCAATGTCTCAAGACAGTTGCTTCATATATTTTGCTCGGTTTCATAGTTTATGTTGGAAGGGTTAGTCTGATATAATTATTCTCATAGGTAGAAGCAGAAGTTCTTCTCTATAGTTTTAAAACGCCATTTATTTTCTTTGTTTTATAAATTAGATATGAGTTTACTGACCAGCTACATGTTTGGTTGATAAATGGTTTTTTTTTTTTTTTTTTTTGAAATGAACATGTCAAGGAAAATATTCAGTATAAGAGTGTGTGAACATTGGTGAAATTGTGATAGCATATATATTTTTTGAAATGACTGGTAATAAATTAAAAACTGACATACTACTTTTACTTTTTAAAAAAATGATTTACTTAAAAAAATGGAAATTTCTTTAGTGAACTTTAGTTTTGTAACTGATCCGTGTGTGATGGAAGTAATTAGCATTCAAAGTATGTAGCCCTGTGGCAGTTAGTCTAAATTTACACTAGGCTTAGGTAAGGAAATGAATCTAGCATTAGGGCCAACTTGAGGAATAGATCATTTGGAAAAGTTGTTTTGTGAATGGTGCTCATCTCTTATACTGTCATTATAAGTAGTTTAGTGATTCTGTTCGTTTTACTGAGGGTGATAAGGAAATAAACATGTATCTGTTTGTAGTAACAAAGTTAAATTAAAATTTTCTAGTTTTGTTATTAAGTAACTATGTGACTTTGAATAAGTTACTTAATTCTCTGAGCTTAGGTAACTGGAAATGTGGTAGAAGATTGACAAAAATAAGCTAAGGGCGAATTTATATTTTAGAAAGAAAGTAAGGCTGAATATGGTGAATTTGAGTTTTGCTGGATGTCAACATTCAGATATGCAGGAGCGGGAAGCTTGGGTTTGGTTAGGGAGAATTGTGTTTGGTTAGCATAGATGACACGTGAGGAGTTGTTGAGATAAGTTTAGACAGTTAAGTTGGAGCCATATGGTACAGGGCCTTATTTATCTGACTAAGGGTTTTAGGTATTATTCTGTGGATAACTGGGAGCTTTTAAATATTTTGGGGCAAGAGAATATATAGAATTGTCCTTTTAGGAATATTAATTTGATGGCAGTAGAGTGGAGAGACTTAATAGGAAAGTTCTGCCTTCACCTTTGCCTATTACTTAGTGAAAACTTGATTGTTGTTTTTTTGTTTTGAATTATGCCACTGTGTTCTTACTTAGTATGGGTATAATTAAGTCCTTAATATTATTATATTTTTCTGGCTATCTGTTCAGAATAGCACAAATGAGGTTAAGTTTTAATTTCATTCAGTGGTTAGAATTTGGCATTATGAGTAGATCATAGAAGGGGGGGTGGTTTACCTTTTTGGTAAGCCCAATAATATAAGTGTATGTATAACATCTCTCAGTAATTCAGAATGTTATACTTTTTACTTAATATGGTATCCCTGATTATAAAGTAGTTTATTCATTTGTGAAAGTCAGAATCTTTTACAGAAAAAGGAAGACTAATCTAAAATCAATAATTTTTTTCGAAACAAGAAATAATTTGTAGGTGTTTTAGCCTTAGAATTTGGTAGCTTATTATATATGAGTATTGTTGATCAAAATTTTCTTCTAACAGTGTTAATTTTATTTACTAGTCCTTTTTTAAATCCTTAATTTATGTAGTAAAGTCCAGGAAAGGAAGTTTGGCAGAGTGGTTAAAGAAAAGAGCATGGACTTGTAAACTCTTTGGATTCAAATTTCAGATCCATCTCTTTCAGTTTTATGGCTCTGAGGAACTTGCTTAGCCTTTTTATGCCTATTTCCTCATCTGTGAAATGAGGAGAAAAGTAGTACCTACTTGAGAGGGTAGTTTTGAGTATTGAAAGAGCATCTGAAATATGTCCAGCCAGTGTTAACATCTCTATAAATGTTTATATTGTGAAATGGAAGCAATTAATCAGATATTGCAGATAATTACAGGGTATTTGCTGAGTGACAGTTTATCTTGTTTCAGGAGATCAAACTCGAGGGGCTGATAAGGTAAGAAGAATTTACACCAGTTGTGCTTACGCATAAACACATCCCTTGGAAGATAAAGCACATGAACTTGGGAGTTAGACCTGTTTAAATCCTGGTTCTCTGGGCTCCTAGCTCTGTGACTTAGGGCAAGTTGTTTCTTTTTTCTTTCCCACTTCATCCTTCACAGCATTTTGAGGTAGATACTATTATTATCCTTATTTTACAAATGAGGAAATGAGGCACAGAAAGGCTAAATAATAACTTTCTTAGGGTTACACAGTTATAAGTGATGGATCTGGGATTGGAACACAGGCAATTTGATCCCATGATCTGTGATTGCTTTAGTGGGAGTTTGAGCAACTCTCTTCTTCTTGAAGGCCAAATGGTAGTGACCTCTTCTGGATTTTTTAATAAGTGCTTTTAGTAATGCAGTATTTGTTTTGTGGTTAATTTTGGATTGACTCTCATTTTTACAAAATGAAAATTTTTTCTTTTTTTAAAATTTAGTGAATAATTAAGTACCAATTTGTAAATGTTCTCACTTGGCCAAGTGCCAGGAATACAGTTTTTACTATAAGAGTGATTCCTTAGATAGGAGTAAGGATACATTTTTTTTAAATACTTTAAATTTTTGGCACAATTTTAGATGTAGTTTGTTCCCTAGTTTTAGCAGTAACATATGTTTCTAGTTAACTTTCCAAGTAGACTGACTTCTGAATTAGTGGCTTTTAACTGTGTTGTCTAGATAAAAAAGACAATCATTTTGTTAAGAATTTGCTATCTTTTATTTAGATGGAGCAGCTATGTAATTATTTGGTTCTGCTCTTTGACCCCCAGATTCTCCGTTTTATACAAGATTATAATTCATTATTTTAGCTGAAAGGAATTTTCAAATTCCCTCATTTTACAAGTGAGAAACTGTGTAACTTAACTAAGATCACATAGCAAGTCATCTTGAAAAAGAGTGCACACACGTGTGTACATTTTATAAAATCTCATCAGGCATTATGTCTTCCTGGTTTGGATGAGTGGCCCATTCAGCCTATTGTTCTAGTTTTAGGAGACCCTTTTAAACACATATCATGGATTTCTCCTCACCACATCATCTAAGAATCCTTTAGGTATGATATTATGCCCAGTATGGATTTATCTAAAATTTATATGACATTGTGGATTTAATTCTTCTATTCATCAAGGGGAATATCATTGGAAGAGAAGTCCATGTTCATAATAGCCACATCTCTTTGATTTTTTTTTATTGGTCGGTGTTGTCTAGTTTGTCCTTCCGGATAGAAGTGTCCAAATTTATCAGGTCCTCTCCAGTAAAGGAATACCTTCCTGTCATTCCTCAGGCCATTTCAAACTGTCTTTCGCTAGAGGCCTTTCTCTTGTATAAATTACACAAGATCTTTAGCTCAGGATCTCCCAACTGCAGGTATAAAATGACATTGTACAAGGTTAATATACCAACTATATGGTGTATTAGTCGGCTCGGGCTGCCATATCAAAGTACTGTAGACTAGGTGGCTTAAACAACAGAAATTTCTCACAGTTCTGGAGGCTGGGAAGTCTAAGATCAAGGTGCCAGCTAGGTAGGTTTCATTCTGAGGCCTCTTCTCTTGGCTTATAGGTGGCTGCCATCTCACTGTGTGCTCACATGACTTGTGTGTGTGTGTGCACACACACCTGTGGGGGGCAGGGAGAGACAGAGAGAAGTGTTGTTACACAGGCACAAGCAAGCTCTCTGGTGTCTCTTCTTATAAGGGCACTAATCCTATCCGACCATGGCCCCACCCTCCCGACCTCATGTAACCCTAACTATCTCCGCATTTCCAAATACCATCATATTGGAGGTTAGGACTTCAACATATGAATTTGGGGGGAGACATAAACATTCAGTCCATAAAATATTGCATACAGTGGTTAAGAAAATGGGCTCTGGAGTTGAATTGCCTGAGTCTCACTAGTTGTGTATTGAGTGAGTTACTTAACTTCTCTGTCACTTGGTTGTTGTTTTTAAAAAAATCTTAAATGGTGGATATTAACAACACTTGTAACAATAGAGTTGTAGGAGTAAAATGAGTTCTTGCATGTAAAGCACTTAGAAAAAGTAGCCCTCAATGTTAATTTTAAAGAAAACAAGAGAGATGATAATAATGATCTTCCTAATGATAATTAGTCTTTTCTTTGTAATTTGGACAATGGCACGTAGGACTAATATCTTCAAAGAACAAGGACTGTTAGAAACTTTTTCTTTAAAGATAAATAACCTGGAATAAAAGAACGCGTGATTCCCTGGAAGTGTTCTTCTGAATTGAACATATGCTAATAAAAAAAGATTAAGCAAAAATAGTTATTGTATTCAAATGCATACTTTTAATTTTTGGCTTGATTAGGACAAGATAATTTACCTATCTGAAAATGTGAATAAAAGCTTTGGATGCAGTATGTTAACTGAGAAGAATAGTATCTTAAAGCCATTTTGGTTCATGAAATTTCTTTAACATAAGCATGTTATTGCCTCTTGAAAAATGATAGGTTCTATGGATCTCATTTAATCAACTTTATAATATACATGATAATTTAACCTGAATTAATGATACTACTAATGGTACTACTTTTCCCTTTTCATCTTGGCTTTTTCTCTGTAGATCAAGTTAACTCATTACAAACTGAACCCTTGCTTGCTTCTCACATCTTTAGTCTCCTTCCAACTCTGTCTTTATTTCTGCTGAGGTTATATTCTATTTGTTTTTCAGATGAGACACTTTTTGCTCTTCCTGCTGCATCTGAGCCTGTGATACACTCCTCTGCAGGCAAGTTCTTTCTGCTAGCCTTTTATCCTCTGTGTATTCTAACTTTTTAACTCTTTAGTTTTGTTAACTCTGTACAGAGTAGTCTGAATTTACTAAAAATTAGCATGGTTCCAAGAATGTTTGTCTACTGAAAAAGTTGGAATTTGCGTTTTATATGCTATGTCCAAGGGAGAAGTGGGCAGAACCTGATTAATGATTGGAAATATGTAAGGAATTCTTGGACACTTGATTTACATGTACATATTGTCTATCCCTTTTCTCCAGATACAGTTTACTTGCTTATAGCTAAAAGGCTTTCCTGTGAATGAATGCCAGTCTATGGCATTTAATTATCCAGTGCCCTTTCTTTTCTATACTGTCAGTCAAACTCACTTCTCAAATCTTCTTTTCTTCTAACACTAGTTAAAAGTAGCTTTTCTCAGTTGATTGTACTTGAGGTTTTTCTCAAAGACTTGATTATGTCTTTGCATAGCATATAATTGCCTCTGTAGCCATGCACATGTTTTATTGACAATAACTTTAATTTTTTAGTAATGATTCAAATCTCCTTGATTGTTAATTACTAATTAAATGTTATTAACCTTTAGTTTTAGTTAACAGTAAGTCTTTTCTAACACTATTTTGAATCTGTCATAAAACTTGCATTAACTCTAAGAACACTGGCGTTCTCTAACTTTCCTTTCTGTCCATGGTCACAGAAAAAATTATGGACTTGAAGGAGCAGCCAGGTAACATTGTTTCTGCTGGTCAAGAGGATTTCTCATCTGTCCTGCTTGAAACTGCTGCTTCTCTTCCTTCTCTGTCTCCCCTCTCAGCTGCTTCTTTTAAAGAACATGAATACCTTGGTAATTTACCAGCAGTATTACCCACCGAAGGAACACTTCAAGAAACTTCAAATGATTCTTCTAAAGAATTCTCAGAGAAGGCAAAAAATCCATTTGTAGACAGAGATTTAACAGAGTTTTCAGAATTGGAATACTCAGAAATGGGATCATCATTCAGTGGCTCTCCAAAAGCAGAATCTGCTGTAACAGTAACAAACCCTAGGGAAGAAATAATTGTGAAGAGTAAAGATGAAGAGGATGGTTTAGTTAGTAATAACATCCTTCCTAATCAACAAGAGTCACCCATGGCCCTCACTCAATCAGTTAAAGAAGAGGACCAAGTTGTATCTCCAGAAAAAACAAAAGACAGTTTTAATGAAAAGAGAGTTGCAGCAGGAACTCCTATGAGGGAGGAATATGCAGACTTCAAACCATTTGAACGAGTGTGGGAAGTAAAAGATACTTATAAGCAAGATAGTGATATGTTGGCTGCTGGAGGTAATGTAGAGAGCAAGTTGGAAAGTAAAGTGGGTAAGGAATGTTTTGCAGATAGCCTTGAGCAAACAAATCATGAAAATGATAGTGAGAGCAGTAATGAGGATGCTTCTTTTCCCAGTACACCAGAAGCTGTTCAAGATAGTTCAGGAGCATACATCACATGTGCTCCCTTTAACCCAACAGCAACTGAAAGCATTTCAACAAACATTTTTCCTTTGTTGGAAGATCATACTTCAGAAAATAAGACAGATGAAAAAAAAATAGAAGAAAAAAAGGCCCAAATTGTGACAGAGAAGAATACCAGCACCAAAACATCAAACTCTTTCCTTGTAGCAACACAGGATTCTGAGACAGATTATGTCACAACAGATAATTTATCCAAGGTGACCTCGGAAGTAGTGGCAAACATGCCTGAAGGGCTAACCCCAGATTTAGTACAGGAAGCATGTGAAAGTGAGTTGAATGAAGCTACAGGCACCAAGATTGCTTTTGAAACGAAAATGGACTTGGTTCAAACATCAGAAGCTATGCAGGAGTCACTCTACCCTGTAGCACAGCTTTGCCCATCATTTGAAGAATCTGAAGCTACTCCTTCGCCAGTTTTGCCTGACATTGTTATGGAAGCACCATTAAATTCTATAGTTCCTAGTGCTGGTGCTTCTACAGTACAGCCCAGTTTATCACCATCAGAAGTTCCTCCTTCAGTTAATTATGAAAGCATGAAACTTGAGCCTGAAAATCCCCCACCATATGAAGAGGCCATGAATGTATCACTAAAAAAAGTGTCAGGAATAAAGGAAGAAATTAAAGAGCCTGAAAGTATTAATGTAGCTATTCAAGAAACAGAAGCTGCTTACATATCTATTGCATGTGATTTAATTAAAGAAACAAAGCTCTCTACTGAACCAACTCCAGATTTCTCTGATTATTCAGAAATAGCAAAAGTTGCACAGCCAGTGCCTGATCATTCTGAGCTAGTTGAAGATTCCTCACCTGATTCTGAACCAGTTGATTTATTTAGTGATGATTCAATACCTGAAGTTCCACAAAAACAAGATGAAGCTGTGATACTTGTGAAAGAAAATCTCATTGAAACTTCATCTGAGTCAATGTTAGAACAGGAAGTTAAGGAAAAACTTAGTGCTTCACCAGCACCTGAGGGGGGAAAGCCATATTTGGAATCTTTTCAGCCCAATTTAGACACCACAGAAGATACTTTGTTACCTGATGAAGTTTCAACATCAACCCAAAAGGAGAAAATTCCTTTGCAGATGGAGGAGCTCAGTACTGCAGTTTATTCAGATGATGGCTTATTTATTGCTAAGGAAGCAAAAATAAGAGAGAGTGAAACATTTTCAGATTCATCTCCAATTGAGATTATAGATGAGTTCCCTACGCTTGTCAGTTCTAAAACTGATTCTTCTCAATTAGACAGGGAATACACTGACCTAGAAGTATCCCACAAAAGTGAAATTGCTGATGTCCAGGATGGAGCTGAGTCATTGCCTTGTTCAGAATTACCCCGTGACCTTTCTTTCAAGAATGTACAACCTAAAGGTGAAGATAAAGTCCATGTCCCAGATGAATTCTCCAAAGATAGGTCTGATATTTCAAAGGTGCCCTTACTGCTTCCAGATATTTCTGCTGTGGCGGCTCAAACAGAGATAGGCAGTATAGTTAAACCCCAAGTTCTTGTGAAAGAAGCTGAGAAAAAACTTCCTTCTGATACAGAAAAAGAGAACAGATCGCCATCTGCTATATTTTCAGCAGAGCTGAGTAAAACTTCAGGTAATTAGTCCATACAATGTTTTGTGTTTTCTTGCTTTTGACTAACTGTGGAACATTCCACTACATTTTGTACAGTATATTACATTTATAGTGTCTAATATAGCACATTGATAAGAATTCTTTTCTATTGTCTCAGTTTAGGGTTTTAGTGCTTTTTCTACCCCTCTTGCACTCATCACTCACCCTTGCTCCTAACTTTTCCACACAATTATTCGTTGATCATTTTTATATTGCATCAGGGAACTAGAAAAATTGTTTTATTAGAATTGGCTTCAATGTCTATTTCTTTTCTGTTGCTTCAGTGTTTCCTGATAGCATGAAGAGCAAGAGGTATTAAAACAAAATATTTTCAGATGTATTTTACTTTTGTTTTCCCAGAAATTACTTCATTTAAAATTTTTAAGAACATTTCTGTAATGTTTCTAATATTTCAATATAATGCACTGTTTTCCAGTAATAGGTCAAGTTACACATATTGAGTAGTAGACTCAATTTACTTTTGTTGAAAAGTATAAATTGAGGTATGCTGTTAATAAATTATTCTGAGAAGTACTGATCCTCAGTTTTTTCTTTTGATTCTACATTTCTACACATCTGATTTGTGTAAAGTGATTTGCACATGTGTTTTTTACTTAGCGTTCTAGTTTAGCTGTGTTTTTAATAAAAATATGTAGTGATTACTGTGTATTTTACTGAATATACTTATGTATTGGAGGTGGGTAGTACTAGTGGCAGAGAGACCAGTTTAGAGAGTGTTGCTATAATCTCAGACAGAGAAGGTTATGAACATAAAGGCACTGGGATGAGCATGGAGATGTAGGACTAGTTGTGTTTGATTGGATATGGACTATGAAGAATAAGGGGAGGAGTTAAAGATGACTCCAGGAGCCCTGAGTTCCTGGTATGTGCAAATACATGGATAGCAGTATGAGAAACTGAGTTAGGGAACATGAGAGAATAAAGTGGGTTTAAGGGGAGAAGATAAAAAATTTAGTTTTGGATATGTTGGTATTAAGGTACCTGTGAGACATCCAAGAAGTGATGGATATTATGAAGCTCTTGAGAGAGACACTGGCTGTATGTGTATATTTGCCATGGGCTCGAGGATAGTAAGTAAAGCCACAGATGCCAAGTAGGGAGAGCCAAGAGAAGAGGACGATTTAAAGATGGAAGAATTGGTCAACATTATCAAAAAACTAGAGAGCTCAGTTAAGATAAGGATTGACAATTTGTCAAAAAGGAGGGATGGTGTTGGCATGACAGTGGCAGGTGGTATGAATGGGCAGAGCTAGGGTTGAGGAGTGAATGGGACTTGAGCAAATGGATACTAAATATTGACATTTTTAAAGAAGATTGAGAATTTTAAAGATGGGAGTGAAAGTCTAATTAAAGGTTCTAGTAGAGAGTCAGGAGGGGATGGGATGAGATCCAGAATTCAAGTGGAGGAATTAGGGTATATAGGAGGAAGGATTTTGAAGGCCTTTGATCATAGTGAATGGAAGGGAAAGTATGGGTGTTGATACTGCTAGGGTTTTGTGGCTGGAAGTTGAGGGAATTGTTTGGTAGTTTGCATTTATTCTTTGAAGCAGTATGTTAGGTCATTTGCTGAGAGTGAACTGGAACGTGCTTAGGTAGAAGAGGTCTGAAATACCTCTGACTTGGGAAACAAAGGTATTGCATTAAGAGCCCAGTCAAAGTTGAAGGGTGATCTGTGTGGTTGGGTGACTTTTCTTTAACTGTGCCCCACAGTCTGGGTATGGGTTCAGAGGAGGCAAATGCTTGTATTGATTCAAGGTTGTGTTTTGCTAGATGGGCCCAGTGGAAAGACAGTGAGTCAAAGGAGTTGAGGATAATAGCAAGAGAGTAGTTTGAAGTGATGGACTGTGGCATCTAAGTTGAAGATTGTAAAGACGAAAGGAGAGGGCGTGGTAGGAGAACAGAAGGTCAAAGAACTCGAGGTCCAAATTAGATCTAAGAACCAAGAGTAATAGAATAAAAATATGAACCAGAATGATAGGAGGTTATGGTCAAAGTAGGATTGTGTGTATGTGTGTTAGATGTTGAATTTAGAATTCCAGGTTGATTATAATGGCTAGGGTTTGGCCATGAGGCAAGGGCTAAAGTTGAGTGGAGTGAAGGTTGCTAGAGGTGAGGTCAGGTAAACTAGAGGCCAGATGTTGGATTGCTCTTCCACGTGACACCCAGGTTGATGGCAGAACTTGGAGTAGAGAGGAGGATTAGGAGCTAGGGACAAGAGACTTTGGTAAAGGGCTATGAGACAGCTGGCCGGATGGTAGACGGAAGCAGTAAGGAAAGATAGAGAATGACATACCTGAATAGCTCAAGACTTCTGCCCAAGGCCTCTGAAATAGTAGTCTGGAGCAGCATTGGTGAACAAGAAAGATACTGACCTCCCCTCCTCTCCCTCAGGTATGTAGGGTACAGGAGAATAAACAGCCTCCATTTAGAGAGTTCCACAGGGAAAGCAGTATCCTCAAGGAAGAGCCAGGTTTTGATAAGGGAATTTTATCAAACTGTATTCTTTTTTTTTTTGGTGAGGAAGATCAGCCCTGAGCTAACATCTGCCAGTCCCCCTCTTTTTTTGCTGAGGAAGACTGACCCTGGGCTAACCTCCGTGCCCATCTTCCTCCACTTTATATGGGACGCCTGCCACAGCATGGCTTGACATGTGGTATGTCGGTGCGCGCCCGGGATCCGAACCGGCAGACCCTGGGCTGCCGCAGCGGAGCACACGCACTTAACCGCTTGCACCACTGGGCCGGGCCCATATCAAACTGTATTCTTAATAATGAAATGTAAATACTGATTTTTTCCTCAGTTCATAATTATGAACATTCATTCTGTTTTCTTTCACTGTACTTCATTGTTTAGAGGCAGTTTTTAATGATCTAGGCTCAGCATTTCATATGTGTTCTTTATTTACTTTTTAAAAAATCTGTGGCTAAAGATTTATGCTTTTGGTATCCTAATGGTTTCCATTTTTGTTTGAAATATATTATGATTATTATTGGTACTTTAATTTTTCACTTTCTACTCATTTTAAAAATAAAATAACAAAGGTACAAGAAAATATTCTGGTATTGCATAAATTTATACTACTATATATAGACCAATATAGTGAAACTTCTGAGAAGAATAGTTAACTGACAGGCAGCCCTACCGTATGACAGTTGAAATGTTTTTCTCAGATGATGCACAGAAGTCTCAGTTTGACATTGGGATGGCAGTTCAGGGATATAAGTGTATAATGATTGAAAGTGGAAGACCACCAACACATGCTAAGGGTGCAGAGAGGCTAGCTCTACCTTGGGTTATTAGGAATGGCTTCACAGAAGAGATGATTCTGTGAAAGTTACAGATAGCAAATGTGAGTAAACACATAGACTTGTTCATTTATGTAAGTAGGGTAAAAGTTTCTCCAGATCCTGTTTGCTATATTTGGGGCACGTGTATGTATGTGGATATTATAGTCAGTATGTAGAAACCTACTCACTTGACAGCTAAGAATATAGATGGATTTCCAGACTGGCCATGGGTGACTAAGTGAAAACAAACATTTAGATTTATTCAGAACTAAAATGAAAAACCAATCTGTGCTAAAGGAGGGTTTTTGATACATTAGATTCTAAATTTTCTATGACCAGAATTAAGCAGAATGAAAAAAAAATGGTATCATTTAGGAGAGTTTTTTTTTTAAGATAATTACTGTTTTAAAATTAACTTTTATTTGGAAATAACTTAAAACTTAAAAACAATTGCAAAAATAAAAATAGTACAAAGAATGTCTTATACTCTTTATCTAAATTTACCTGTTAACATTTTCCCTATTTGCTTTATCATTTGTGATCTCTCCTCTATAGATAACTAGATACAGATACATAAATACATCCTTGTTTTTCCTGAACCATTTGAGAGTAAATTATATACATTTTGTTTTATCCTTAAATATATCAAAAAGAAGTATTCCCTTATTTAACCTCAGTACAGCTATTGACTTCATGCATGTATGTTAATACAATGTTTTTTTCTAATATTCCAATTGTGTTCCTTGATCTAATAATGTCCTTTATAGTGTCCTCTACTGCAAGATCCAGTCTAGGGCTAAATTTTGCATTTAGTTGTCATGTTGCTTTTGGCTCCTTTAATCTGGCACATTTCCAGGCTTTCTCTCTCATGACATTAACATTTTTGAAGAACACAGGCCCTTGCCCCCTCTTTTTTTTTTGCTGAGGCAGATTTGCCCTCAGGTATCATCTTGTTGCCAATCTTCCTCTATTTTGTATGTGAGCCACCACCACAGCGTGGCCACTGAGTGGTGTTAGATCCCTGCCTGGGAACCGAACCTGGGTCGCTGAAGTGGCCACTGAGTGGTGTTAGGTCCCTGCCCTGGAACCGAACCTGGGTCGCTGAAGCAGAGCACACCGAACTTAACCACTAGGCCTCTTTAATAGAACATTCCTCCCTTTTTAATAGAACATTCCTCATTTTGCATTTGTCTAATGTTTCTTAGTGATTAGATTGTGGTTATGGATTCATGGCCAAAATGAAGATGATGTGTAGTGTCCTTCTCATGCTATCATAAATGGAGGTGCCCACTATCCATCAGTCCCTCAAAGGTTAATTTTGACCTGGTCAAATTCTGATCTGGTCAAGGTGGTCCCTGATTTCCTTATATAATTGCTGTCTTTCTTCTTCCCTTACAACTAATAAGCAGTCTCAGGAGTGACACTTCAAGACCACGCTCCCCATCAAAATTCACTCCCTAGATTTAGTATCCGTAGATGATTCTTGCTTAATTCAATCTTTACTATTAAGGTTGAAAAGTGATAATTTTTCAATTCCAACACTCCCTCTGCATTTATCAGTCAACCCTTGGCAATCTGCTATTAGCAAGAGCCGTCCTTTTCCATGAATTAATTAATTATTAGTATGGGTCCATGAATTTTTGTTATGCCCCTGATGGTTTATAATTCATTACT